ACATTTAACCACTGTAAATGATTATTAAGTACATATCCTATCACTGTAAATAATTAAATCAGTACATATCCTACCACTGTAAATGATTAAATTAGTACATATCCTACCACTGTAATTGATTAAATTAGTACATATCCGACCACTGTAAATGATTGAAAAGTATATATCCTACCACTGTAAATGATTACATTAGTACATATCCTACCACTGTAAATGATTAAATTAGTACATATCCTACCACTTTTAATGATTAAATTAGTACATATCCTACCACTGTTAATGAAAAAATAAGTACATATCCTACCACTGTAAATGATTATTAAGTACATATCCTATCACTGTAAATAATTAAATCAGTACATACCCTACCACTGTAAATGATTAAATTAGTACATATCCTCCCACTGTAATTGATTAAATTAGTACATATCCGACCGCGGTAAATGATTGAAAAGTATATATCCTACCACTGTAGTCAATGATTAAATTAGTACATATCCTACCACTGTTAATGATAAAATAAGTACATATCCTACCACTGTAAATGATTATTAAGTACATATCCTACCACTGTTAATGATTTATAAGTACACATCCTACCACTGTAAATGATTAAATCAGTACATATCCTACCACTGTGAATGATTAAATCAGTACATATCCTACCACTGTCAATGATTATATTAGTACATATCCTACCACTGTAAATGATTATTAAGTACATATCCTACCACTGGAAATTATTAAATCAGTACATATCCTACCACTGTAAATGATTAAATTAGTACACATCCTACCACTGTTAATTAGTACATTTCCTACCACTGTTAATGATTAAATTAGTACACATTTTACCACTGTAAATGATTAAATGAGTACATATCCTACCACTGTAAATGATAAAATCAGCACATATCCTACTACTGTAAATGATAACATCAGTACATATCCTACCACTGTAAATGATAAAATCAGTACATATCCTACCACTGTAAATTATTAGATAAGTACATAAGTACTTATCCTACCACTGTTAATTAATAAATAAGTTCATATCCAACCACTGTAAATGATTAAATAAGTACATATCCTATCACTGTAGATTTTGAAATAGGTACATAAAATATCATTGTAACTTTTATAGATACATAGTCTATCACTGTAAATTACTATACAGATACACAGACTATCACTGTAAATTCTTATTTAAATTTAGGTACATAGACTATCACTGTTAATTGTTTTATAGGTACATAGTCTATCACTGTAAATCATCATCATCATTATCATCATCATTATCATCATCATTATCATCATATGATATCAAAATCGTCATTATCATCACATTGATATAGCCATCATAACACAAAATCATCATCCCATTGACATCAACATTTTCATTCTTGTCATTAGCATCATCATCATGACTGATATCAACATCATCCTCACAATATAATGTATTTTTATATAGGCACATTTATATAGCATATCACCGTTTATTATTATTTAATTCCATAACCTATCACTGTAATACGTTATACAATCACTGTAAATTATTACATAGCCTATCTATGTATCACATATTTGAAAAATCACGGGAAAAGGTTTACAAGACAAAAACTTAAGCGCTGGGAGCTTGATTGTTTTATTTTGATTTTTTCCTCTTCACATGCAATGGCAACAGGTGGATAGAGAATTCCTCGCTCTTAAATCATAACATTCGTTTTAATCCTCAACAAACTATCGAGATTTACCCCAATTTATGATCCGAATTATTGTCTATTAACCTCCATTATATATGATCTGAGAGCATTTCACTACCACGGCGGGAGTCAACTTCGGCTATAACATAGGTGGGTACGATTATTGCAGTTCCTTGGAAGGTGACTTTGACACTATGCATAGTATATCAACGTAAATCTATCAGATATATAGTATATAGTTAAACTGAAGGCTGAGGTCACAGGGAGAGATGGAGTTAAGGTGATTTATCTTAAAGACTCCGTAATGATCACTTTTACGGCCATGTTTTTACGTGATTTTAGAAACTATATTTTATAGATTATATGATTTGTCAATAAATAATTTTCAGTGTAGAATTAATCGCTTGGTTTGTCCTTCAATCTCAATTTGTTGTAGAAAGCGTGACATTTATAATCCGGATTAGACCCACTCAAGTTCTCTTAACCTCGACAATATTTCACTACTCCTTACAATTTATAAGTCTTAATGTCATTCTCTTTCCGGGAAGACATGTGAAAAATGTGGGCAGTAAAACACTGTGTGATGCAGTAAACGATATATTCACACGACATATGCAAAGATCACATACATCGCAGTTATCGATATACATATTCCCGTGTTTGTAGCTGTCGATATACAGACATTTACTTGTCCCGCGGTATAGACATTTACTTGTCCCGGGGTATAGATATTTACTTGTCCCGGGGTATAGACATTTACTTGTCCCGGGGTATAGACATTTACTTGTCCCGGGGTTTAGACATTTACTTGTCCCGGTGTATACAAATGTAGGTACTGACTTGTCCCGGGGTATAGATATTTACTTGTCCCGGGATATAGACATTGACTTGTCCCGGGGTATAGATATTTACTTGTCCCGGTGTTTACAAATGTAGGTATTGACTTGTCCCGGGGTATAGACATTCACTCGTCCCGGGATATAGACATTGACTTGTCCCGGGTTATAGACATCGACTTATCCCGGGGTATAGACATTTACTTGTCCCGGGATATAGACATCTACTTGTCCTGGGGTATAGACATTTACTTGTCCCGGGGTATAGATATTTACTTGTCCTTGGGTATAGACATTTACTTGTCCCGGGGTATAGACATTTACTTGTCCCGGGGTTTAGACATTTACTTGTCCCGGTGTATACAAATGTAGGTACTGACTTGTCCCGGGGTATAGATATTTACTTGTCCCGGGATATAGACATTGACTTGTCCCGGGGTATAGATATTTACTTGTCCCGGTGTTTACAAATGTAGGTATTGACTTGTCCCGGGGTATAGACATTCACTCGTCCCGGGATATAGACATTTACTTGTCCCGGGGTATAGACATTTACTTGTCCCAGGGTTTAGACACTTACTTGTCCCGGGGTATACAAATGTAGGTATTGACTTGTATCGGGATATAGACATTGACTTGTAACGGGATATAGACATCGACTTGTACCGGGTTGTAGGCATTTACCTGCACCGGGATATAGACACTGACGTGTCGGGGGTTATAGACAACGATTTGTCCCGGGCTATATACACGACTCGTTCCGGAGTATAGACATACGGTATATTGACATTGACATTAAGAATTACCTTAATGTAACCAGATCAACATGAGTATCCATAAGTTAATAAGATACGCTTTTTGGTTCTTGTGTATCAACAGCATAGTCCCGTACTCATGCAAACAATTCAAATGTCGATGGTAGAGCTTTTAGAAATGAACCATTCCATAATTTAATTACAGCATATTTCGTACTTTCGTATTTTATCTAAACATTTCAAAATCATAATAAAAAGAACATGATGATTAAATCTCCAAAGAATCATAAAACAATTTAAGTGTAAAGTATAGGGCTTGACGAACCAGGATAGTACAACCATAGAAATCGCTGTTTAAGAATCAAGTGTGCCATAGAAATCTGAATTATAGCAATATTATACAAATAAATCAAAAGCAAGTTTAAAACGTACACCAATACAATAACTCGCTACCCAGTATTAGTACTCAATCACTGCCCTATCCAGAGGCCGTTTATCGGAATCGCTGTCCTAGGGCTTTAGTCCATTACACAGAAAGTCGTAATTTGGTTGGAGGTATAACTGTTACTGTAAGATACATTCGGAGTGTTCTCATTACAGGAACCTTTTACGATTGGAAAAACGTAATATCTATTAAATTACAACATTAAATTTCTATAATGTTTCAATTATTTATGAGTGGTTAAAATCAAATGAGTCCATTAAAGGAGAAACAGCTTCTATCGACGCGTAATCAAGTGGGGTATGCGATGTGGTGTAGATATTTATTAGAAATGCATGTTGTTCTTACTTACTGCATAGTCAACCTAATTTGGTACTAACAACGGTCGCCCTTATAGCATATTCTTTCATGCTGTTTGGTTCTGTTATCAAAATGCACCTGATGTATTTAAACCTGTTAATAAAGTTATTGACGAGGAAAGGGGAATGCGTGTTATTTCACGTAAGAAAAGAGAACAAAGTTTCTAGGAATTGTCCTGGTACTAACAAGACATATATTGCTACCGTATTGGGTTTTGATACACACAGTATCTGCATCAGTGATGGAATAGCTGTGTTCTGTGAAATGCCTCGGGTGAGAGGGAATTACAGCACATCAATATAGATATATAGTATGTGGGCTTAAACAGCATTCATCTCATAGCTCTCCGGCCTCTATATCAGTATAGGCAGCTTACACGTGACAAAACAGCACGTGATTTACAGTAATCAAACATTACGTGACGTTTGAGGTTATATTGGAATGCTTATTTAATTATTTAATAGTTGAAATTCAAATAGAAATTCCAAACGACTCACACTTCAGGCGTTCGGTTTTTTAAGTCTTCTATATCCGTACAAGTCATGTCTGTGATTTGACTAAATTTTCTATAAATGTTCGTTGTGGATTACAAACGTCAAAGTCTATTACATTTTGTAATAAATACCAAATGGAAGAGTTGAATTATAATCTTATGAAATTCCTGTGCACATCTTTGACTTCAGTGTGCATGAAGCTATTATGGAATCAATATCTCTGATGCGTCAGACAGGCTGTTCGCTACTAAGCTTAGTCTCGGTTCCAACGAGCAATGACATGATTACAATCTAGAAAAAATAGCGAGTAGCGGAACCGGAAATAGCTATATTGTAATAACGACATTAAAAGGAATTCTCTTTGAACCCTGAGCTTAAATCTCAATACTATAATGCTTCTGGGAGCAGATGGTCTTATCTGTGATTCTGGATTCGCTGGGACTTTAAATTTCCTAAATGTTTTCCGGGACAAGATTAAAATCACAAAAATGCATAACAACAAGTGTCCATTCCCATGTTTCATTTGTAAGGTTCCGTAGCAGCTATCAACACTAGTCGATGTTCCGAGATCTGTAAAGCCGATTGTTCACGTGGACCTAGGAACGTGTGCTGTAGGAATTTCACCGGATCTAACGAAACTAGGAGTGAACGGTGATATAGGTGGCGCCACCACCAATGTCCTGAGTAAAACATTCCCGGATTAAGTCGTGTTTCTTATTGCTCTCATTGTGCATATATGATTATTTCTTTGTTGAAAAGAAAAGACATACAGTTAACATATACATTTTGTTGATTTCACACTTCACAATATATTGCTAAGACGTAGTACTAGGGTATGGTTGTTCGCACTCGGACTTAACCGTCAGTATATGTATCAGTGACTTTTAAAGTTGTATTGGAGTTCGAGTTTCAAACCTGTGCGATTTAATTTCAGATTAACCGGAAATGTCCGACTCGAGTGAAGCAAGTAAAGACGTCATCAGGGCAAAATGGTACGACGTGAACCGGAAGTTACTTCCCGTAAAGATGTTTTACTTCTTCACACTTGCAGGTAAGTCAAAAACCGAAAGTCGTAAAAGGGTTTTATTTCTGATTACTGTCCTTTGATTTGGCATATATTTAACTAAAAATATATACAGCATTCACAAAAGTATTAAAAATAGTTTGCATGACGTAGAATGGGTTACATTTTCCGTCAGACAATCAAGTCTTTCAACTGTTTTGAACGAGCGACATTTGTTGTCTACCAAATTCTATATAATCGTCACCACAACTAAATGTTAAGTTACATCATGCCAGGAACTAAACGGTATTAAACCCGAGGAGCATAACCATTAACCATTTGTAAATGTTACTTCTGTTAATCGTAATGACGACTGACGTCCTTAGCAAAGACACAGGATTCACAATAAATCAAGCTTATAACGACAATAGACAGCCACGCTTTTGTTTTCAGACGTGGAGTTAGTCAAATGTTTCCAAAATGTGCATCCGTGATTTTTTTTTACTTCTTCTGGAACAGAACAGAAAAACAGTTGACGTCATAAGTGTATTGACCTAAGCTATAGAAATGAATGTTGCGGTTTTTCCACAAAGTTCAAATGTTCATGGATAATTGCTTCAAACTTGTTTGCTAGACCAGGCTAATACTGTATTCCCTAGTTTTGGATTTCGACTCGAGGACAGGACATCTCTGTCGCAGCAATATTTTCGAAGACGTCAGTTTACACATGTTCTATTAAATAAATTAAAAATATATCAGTTAGGATAATTTTTCGCATACTGTTTTTCATATCAGTGTTACGAAGTGCATCTCTATTCAGACTAGATGTCTCATGCTCTGTTTAAACGTTTGTTTGACATATAAAAGATGAAACGTTTACTGGTACAATTGACACTAAACCAGAACATCATTATAAATGTCACACAATGCAGTAACACTGCATTTTACTGTGCTATCTCTTCGTATCTGGAATAATTACAAAGTTATTTATCGTCGGCCTAACAGTTCTATAATCTAAACATAAATCAAACTCCCACAGAACTCCGTTATGTCTAGATTAACAATGACTGCGCCAAGTCATGTCAATATGACCTTTTACTGCACATCTCATGGATTGTTAATTTATCAACTTTATGTGGAACATGTATTGTAAAATATTTGAACGAGATCCGTGTGTTAAATATACTGTCGAATAGGATTCTATTGAAATAAATTAGTATACTCTTTATTCTTGCATTCTTGTAATTCGATTACCTTCACTAAGGCATATAACAGATGCTGGTATTAAATTATACAGCTAGGTGGACTAGAGATTGAATTAAATGAAATTTCTTGTTAATTAAAACGAACGATTATGGCGATGTCACCAGCGATAGGGACAGTGTGGACATGACACATTGTGTCTGTGGTATTGTTTCAGCACTCCCATCATGGGATACTTCCCTCCGTTTCTGTTATATTTCATGACACATTGTGTCTGTGGTATTGTTTCAGCACTCCCATCATGGGATACTTCCCTCCGTTTCTGTTATATTTCATGACACATTGTGTCTGTGGTATTGTTTCAGCACTCCCATCATGGGATACTTCCCTCCGTTTCTGTTATATTTCATGACACATTGTGTCTGTGGTATTGTTTCAGCACTCCCATCATGGGATACTTCCCTCCGTTTCTGTTATATTTCATGACACATTGTGTCTGTGGTATTGTTTCAGCACTCCCATCATGGGATACTTCCCTCCGTTTCTGTTATATTTCATGACACATTGTGTCTGTGGTATTGTTTCAGCACTCCCATCATGGGATACTTCCCTCCGTTTCTGTTATATTTCATGACACATTGTGTCTGTGGTATTGTTTCAGCACTCCCATCATNGGGATACTTCCCTCTGTTTCAGCACTCCCATCATGGGATACTTCCCTCTGTTTCAGCACTCCCATCACGGGATACTTCCCTCTGTTTCAGCTCTCCCATCATGGGATACTTCCCTCTGTTTCAGCACTCCCATCACGGGATACGTCCCTCTGTTTCAGCACTCCCATCACGGGATACTTCCCTTTTGTTTCAGCACTCCCATCACGGGATACTTCCCTCTGTTTCAGCACTCCCATCATGGGAACTCTCCTCTGTTTCAGCACTCCCATCATGGGATACTCTCCTCTGTTTCAGCACTCCTATCATGGGAACTCTCCTCTGTTTCAGCACTCCTATCATGGGAACTCTCCTCTGTTTCAGCACTCCCATCATGGGAAACTCTCCTCTGTTTCAGCACTCCCATCATGGGAACTCTCCTCTGTTTCTGTTATATTTTCGGGAGAAAAAGATGTTCGATGGACTATAATGTGAATCATCGATCAATATTCGTTAGATAAAGATGAGGTATGGGTGGAGATGACAGGAACGGGCGATAGGAATGTAGTAATACATGAAGGGTGATAGGGGCGGGGTTATAGGGAAGGGGTAAAAGGGGAGGGGATGGGGCGTTGGGGATTGGGAAATAGGGGAGGTAATGGGGAGGGGCTTTAGGGAAAGGCTGTTAGGTAAGGGTATTAGGCCAGGGGAAATAGGGTTTTGTTTAAAGCAAGAGGTAATAGGGAGAGAATAGGGGAGATGTTATAGGGGAGGAGTTGAAGAGGGGAGGTTATGCGTTAAGGAAGAGGAGGTTGTTATATACTTAAATGGCTAAGTACTAACAACCCCGAATCATTCGACAACTTTGACATTTGCGCATCCGTAGTACTGCCATCAAATTCAATTTCATTCCTTTTTGGAAGTTTTTATTTTAGTGAGATCAAGTGTGAACTTAAATACCCGATCTGCTGTTTAAAGTATCTCTAATAATACCTTCTAGTGCTAACATATACTTGCCTACTTCATGTAGTAGGTTTGTAGTAGATACCTGTACCATGACTTAATTACATGCAACGTTATGTTTCCAAATATACCTTAAGACACTTACTAAAGTTGCTGAAACTAAGAGCGCCGAAAGTACATTGTCCGTGCAATTCTCAAAATTGAAACTAAGAATGTAAATACATTGTACTAGGGGAACAGCTTAAAGGCAGGCGACGTAACACTGTCTCTGTGAGTTTCATTAGTGCTGTTTATAATGAACTGATTGATTGTTTTACAGGTATGGGCTGTCTGTACCCCTTTGTGACCCTCTACATGAAGCATGTCGGACTCACCTCACGGGAAGTCGGTATTATATACGGAATGATGCCGTTCATTGGTTATTTAGTTAGACCAATTATTGGCAATCTTGCTGACAGAATCCAGAAACATAAACTGATATTGATCACGTGTTGTTTGCTGAATGGCGTCTTCCATCTTCTGTTGCTACTCGTACCGGAAAAGGGAATTTATAAACATTCCGTAAAAATGAAAACCATAATTCATTGTAATCAATTTAATTCATACATTCATGATTGTATTCCTAAGCATTTTGAAAATGACGTCCATTGTCCAACATTGTTTACGAATTACGTTCAGATTGATTTTAAGAAATATCGGACAGCAAAATTGACGTCACTTGATGGCAAAATGGATACGGGAAATTTTTGGCCTTCGTTTTCATGGATGGAAAGTCACGGCATCAAGTGTTCCTTAGATTGTAAAACTGGAAGTGGGAATTCAAAACCGGAAGTTGGATTTTGTGGGTCTCCTGGAAACAAGCAACAACAACAACGATGCAAGGATTATGTGCTGAATTTAAATCATAATGACAATTTAGGCATATCCTTATCACAGATATATCTGTCGTTAAGAAAAGATACTTCCGGCGAAGTTATCATAGAAAAGGATACAAATTGTGCCAACTTCCTCCTGAGTAACCTGACGTACAACAGTGACAGTTACTTCAACATGAACTGTGCTGTAGATATGGAACTTTCGTGTAACGTCACGTGTACGGACGTGACCAATCAGCCCTGTCTTCACATGGAGAAAATTGACACGGGAGAAATGACCTTGACCTTCTGGCTTTTCCTTCTTCTCTTTTTCCTTGGTAACGTGTCAGAGGCGCCGATATTAGGACTCGGGGACGCAATAACTCAAAACATTCTTGGTGGTGAAAAACGTAATTTGTGGGGTAAACAAAAATTATGGGGTACACTAGGATTCGCTGTTTTTGCTGTTACTTCTGCCATTTTGGTTGATCTGTTGAGCACCGATACAAGCACCAACTACAATTTCTCATTTTATATTTTCGTATTTCTGCTTACAGTAGCAGCGGCTGTGTCATGTCTTCTCCCAATAGACCGAAATATTCTGTGTATAAATTTCTCTCGGAATTTAAGTGTATTCCTGGATCATCCGAACATAGTTATGTTTCTACTTGCACTGACTTGTCTTGGGTTTATGCTTGGCGCGTGCGAAACATTTTTGTTTTGGTATTTACAAGATCACCTTGGAAACACGCTGCTTATTGTTCCCGGGGCGACACTTCTCATCAGCTGTATGGTTGAAACCGTCTTTTTATTCGCATCTGGTCCTATTATTCTTAAACTGGGCCATCTTAACTGTATATATCTTGGATTTGTGTCGTTTGGGATACGATTTCTATGCTACTCTTTCCTTACCAACGCCTGGCAGATTCTGGCTGTGGAAATACTGTACGGACTCAACATGGGCCTCGTTCTGGCTGCAGCCACCTCCTACAGTAGTATATTGGCACCCCCAGGGACGGCCCCGACACTTCAGGCAGTAATACGTGGCTGCCACTTTGGATGTGGTAATTATTTTCCTTTCGTTATTTATACCATATGTGTAGTTATGTTGTTGTTACAATTTTCGTACATGTTATAAGGTACAGCTGACATACAGCGAAACTTTTAAAATATCGCTTGCTAGTTCGATATCAGGGTTATCAAGTGATTACATCCAATTGTTACTGGCAAGTTATTTATTTAGATTTGAGAATTTTGCTCTTCAGCGAATCAATTCAATACATCACACAGTGCAAAGAGATTGCAGTATACTAAGACATGGTACATATAATCATTAGACCATTTTGTCATATAACCATTACATATAATCACTGAAGTATGGTTCCTTGATCTAAAAGTGTTTGCTGTAATAGGAATGCCAACTGGACAACGGCAAATTCAAGGAAGCGCGCTGAAAGCAGTTCAATACTAATATTTACCATTTTTGGAATCTGTTCATCTCCTCAAAAAATTCAAATACACTTATTATTATTCAGCATTTAGTCAAAATAATATATGTATCGTGTATGCTTGTTCAATGAATAGAACAGCCATTGCCCGGGGAGGGTCAGTGGTTTCCAACATCACAATTACGACGTCATAATTATGATGACGTCAATAATCGGTCCATGGCATTCATATAGGCTATGAATGCCAACTGAATGTGGTAGGGTTATATAGTGGCAATGCCTTACGATGGTGAAAACAGATACTAAAAACAAAGATTCAATCTATGACAGCAGAGGTACTATATGTATACTCCTTGGATCTATCCTGTTCTGGCACGTTTAGTTTAGCATCGGTCACATCAGTGTTTGTCTTCTTCAGTCTGTGTCACTGACTTTCATCTTTATTTAATTGGCAATAGGCAACAATGCCTTTGTGCTTTACACACACTTAAGCATGACAATGACATAATGGCAATAATAAGTACATATTTACATGAATTTTATAGCAGCAAAATAACACATTTACAAGGAACATATTCATTCACAATAGTAAGCATTAACACATGTAGGATGCAATAGACTTTAACAAAAAATTAATGCGAAGCGAAGGATGCAAGGAATTAATTTGATTTACAAATTAAACAAAATTCCATGTCTAATTTCATTTGCTTTGTAAATAAACATAGCTAGATTTCTAATAATAAAATTGTTTTCTGAAGAAACAAGTTCAACAAATTTGTCCATATTTGGTCTACAGTAATAAGTTTTTTTCAAAAATTTGATCTAATTTCAGAGTATAACGGGCATTCCATAACAAAATGATATTCATCTTCAATTTAAGTACACGCACTACAACATCGCATTTCTGCAGGTATTGGGTTAGGTCTATGTCATCTCCCTGTTTAATCTATGGGCAGATATTCGAAGCGCTGTTAAAGATTTTCTAAAAATTTTAACGTTTACTATATCAAGATATTTCTTATAACCAAACTCATTTGATAAACGTATATAACATCTTGCTCTTGGCGAGTCAACAAGAGCTCTATGCCAATCCTGTATAAAAATATCCCTCACTCTGGTCTGAAATAATTCTAAAAATACTTTTTCATCTCCAACTCCTTGTTCAATCCATACATATCCGAAACCACAAGTACATAATAAATTTTTCACTAACTTTGCCCAATTTATCACACGTGACGTTTCCGCTCGTGTATAAAGCTCACCATAGACTGACTGGACTAAAACGTTCTTCTGTTTATGAGCAATTTTAAGGGGAAGACAACCCAGTTCTCCATAAACAAAATTGTTTTGCGTAGATTTAACTCCAAGTAACCGCTTACAAAATTTCAAGTGTAGTTTTTCTATCGCCATCGCCACCCCAAACTTCACATCCGTAACTCAATACAGGCCATACTATTTTATCAAACAAACCATACAAATGTTTTGGTGTTAAATTTATTAAATTTTTGTAACTGTTTTTCTAATTGAAATAAAGATTTCGAGCCTTGGCCCGATAAAGTTAATTGGGCTTCAGAAAACGACCCACCTGGAGTAAAAGCAACCCCTAAAAAGGAAAACTTCTTAACTATCTGCATCTCATCCTCACCCAAGTAAAACCTTAAATGTTCTGGTAATCTTCCTCCTTTCCTGAACACCATCACTTTAGATTTTTCCACATTAATTTTCAATTTCCACCGTTTACAAAAGTCGTTCAAAATATTCAATCCGTTTTGTAAACCGACACTGGAGCTAGCTATCAGAGTGATATCGTTAGCATACAATAGTATGAATAATTTTTAAAATCCAACTGTTACACCCTCATACCCATTCATAATTAACTTGTGCTCAAGATCATTTATATGCATAGCAAACAAAACTGGGGATAAACTTTCACCTTGTTTTACCCCGGTTATGCATTCATACTCTTCTGATATTTCATTTTTAATTTTAACTCTAGCTTTAACAGAATCATACATTGATTTCACAATATCAAGCATCTTACCTCTGATTCCTAATTTAATTAACTTCAACCACAGATTATCTCGTACTACATAATCGAAAGCTTTCGAAAAATCTACAAAAGTACAGTATAACGTTTTTTTGCTATTAACAAAACATGAAATTAAACCATGTAAAATAAATATATTATCGACTGTACTATGACCAGCTCTAAAACCGGCTTGTGCATCTACATACACACTATATTTTTCAGCCCATTTTGTTAACCGACTATATAAAATCTTCGTTAATAGTTTCCCAACTACACTTAATAAAGTAACGCCTCTGTAATTACCGACCTCTGATTTCTTACCTTTCTTATGAATAGGTATTACATAACCTTCTGACCAAAGAGTGGGGAATTCCCCCTATCTAAAAATAGCATTGAATAAAACATCGAAATGCGGTAATAAAATGTTACGCCCCGACTCAAAAACTCATTTTAACACTAAATCAGGCCCCGCACTTTTCCCGTTTTTAAGCTGTCCTAAAGCTTCATTAATTTCTCCTCTAGTAATATTATCATTGAGCTCATCAAACATTACTTGTAGTTCATCATTCAAATATCTGTCAACAAAGTTTACGACATCCTCATCGGGCGTGAAAAAGGGATCATCCAGGTTGTTAATAGAACTGAAAAACTTTGCGAATTCATCAACACTTATATTTGAATTAGAACCTTTCAAGCATGATTCTTTCAGTAACTTCCAATACTCTTTGGAATTACTGGCTCTAAATTATAATAATTTTGACGTCTTTGCAGCGTCATACTTTAAACGGCATTTCCTTACCTCTTTTTTAAACTCGTTCCTCGCCTTTACCATATGAACTCCATTCTCATCAGAACTGACCCGTCGGTACAAATTCAATTTGTCGAAAAACAATGACCTTATCTCCCGATATTACTCTTCCTTTCATGATTGATTTTATAATTATTATTAGACCTATAATGAGTGACTTTTGACATGATTGGGTCAGCTGCTTTACACAGGGCTTCGTTAAATTTCTCTACAGCCTTATTTAAATTGCCCATTTCTTCTTCAGAATTATCAATTTATGTAGTCATTTGAAGTAATATAGTGACTGACATTCATCATTACGTAAATTTTGAATGTAGAAGTCTGACATCTCTGGTTTCCACCTGTAATATTTTTGTTGTATAGCGGTAAACCGAGGGCCCTAGGGCTCACATGTGTTATATTCGTAGATAACGAAAACGAAATTGTCATATGATCACTGTATATGTTTGGCAAACCGACCTCGAAAAGAGGAAATAAAGGGAACAAACCTGGTGACGTCAAACATAATCAATTAAACTTTTCCAACGCTCGTTCATAAAAGTGAAATTGCCGATTCCAGCATCCTTACCAATCCTGCCATTTACAATTCTCAGACCTGACATTTTACAGAAATCAAGAAGTTTATGACCGTTTTCATTCACTCGAGCTAGGTCTAATGAAAGACGAGGTACAACATCATCAGCACTCTCACCCGTAATGTAATCACTATAGTCCCCCTCTAAATCATCAGCACTCTCACCCGTTCTGGCGTTCATATCACCAACAACTATAAAATCACAAGTATCGGCGTTTGTATTTATAATATTTAAATATAGGTCATACAAGCGGTCAAGTGTATCAACATTTGTGAATGACCTTCTGCTGGAGTTTACTGGCAGTATATAACACAAAAATAGGTAAACATCATTTTCAAAACCGAAGTAATCTTTAGACAATTTAAGAATAATTATGTCGTCAGAATGAGATATTGTGTCTCTTACATAAATAATTAATCCACCAGAGTCTCGTTTAGTGTTTTTTACATATTCTGTTCTATTTAAAGGAAAACATGTAAAATCTGTAACATCCATCTCCCGTAATGTAGACGACCACGTCTCAATACAAAAGAATGTCATTTACAAGGAAAGGGTTTTCAAAGAAATCACTGTTGAGCTTGTTACTTCGCTAAGTAACTAAACCCTGTGAGTTTAAATACACAAGTTTGATACCAACGTTCTTGCCCACGTGTGCGCACATGCACCCCTCGCATTCCTAATCACTGTCCGATGCTCCGCCTCCTGTTGCCGCCATTGGTCCACTCGACCAATCACTTGCTGCCCGTCGCTGTAGTACTCTACTCCACTCAGGTAGCGAATCCCTCACCACCGTGCCGTTCACAATCAACTTCGCTGGAAATACAATCTTCGCTTCATTCTTACTCCTTTTTGCCATCCTTAGATCCTCTAGCTGTCTGAATTTCTCTGGGATAATCTCTTCCTATACCGAAACCTGTATCTTTAAGTGCTTTTACCTCAGACATGATTTTCTCGGTGTAATTGTAATCACGGAAACCTGCTATAAGTGGGCGTGGCTTTAACTTGACCTGTCCATCACCACTTCCACGTGCACGCGCAGGCTTGACTGTTATCGCCGTCACTAATCTTCAGATTATTTTTAATAAAATTGCGAACCACTTCAGGACCATTTTCACCCTCTGAGTATGAAATTCCATAAAACAGCAAATTGTTTCGTCTGCTTCTCGCCTCCAAGCCTATAGCTCTATACTCCACATATTTCATT